TCCATAACTTCTGCAGAGGCAATGGATAACGTCTCCACTTCTGATAACGACTGGAACAGATCAATATCTACTTAAACAGACTATTAAAGTTCTCGGATTATCGGTCTAAATACATTCTTTTAAATCAAGCTTGTATGCACCATTAGCATCATCAAAATATATATTAACAATCGATTAAGCATCATTTACCAATTAGTCCGGTAGCTTAAACTGTATTTACATAAATTCCTTATTTTTCAACTGAGTTCTTGAAAGTGACTGATAAGTACATATTTAGCAAACTAGGATACATTGTGGGTAGAAAAACCATAACAACTGGATTCATAAAGAACTTTCTGCCGGGTAATTCTATGAACGAAATCTGACTTCAAACATTTGTAATCTAGACTAATTTCCTGAAATTTTTTTTATCAAATCACGTTGTGGTGAAGGAGAACACAGGTGAGGACGACCGAATTACATTATGCACAAAATTACAAAGTTACTTGGTAAAATAGAAAAACCATACTATAATACTTAATTTGCAAAATGTTCAATAATTATCTCGAACTTCATTGTTCTTGTATTTCCATACTAATTGCTTTCTATTCCCACTCTTCCTTTCTTGATCTTCTCAATCATCTGCTGCCAGATATTACATTCCTGACTCACGTCATATACTGCTTATATCAATATAAGTAACAAGCACAACAACGTTGTTAAATCACTGAGTTAATACCAAAAGGCCAAACGTGAAAGGTTTACAGGAAGACTATATCTCACGTATACTGCAACACAAACTAAATTGAAACTATCACGTACGGTACATGATTTGTAAAGAGTGTCTATAAAATTCTCAATCCATTCATTGACAGAAAAATAAAGTCCCAAAATACATAGATGACAAAAACCCAATGAAGTATTCACTGATGTGTGAATCTGGGCTGCTACAAACTGTTATTTAATTTTGATTTTATACAATCGTGCATAGATCATTTTAGTCTAGCTGAGTAAAAGGTAGCATTTTAGATAAATTCTCAATAGGTTGAAACTTCATTTTAAGGAGTTTGATTATTAAACCTATTGTTCACTGAATTACGACAGGACTAATTTTCATATTTTTCCATGAAAGTTTTATTTACTGATATTTCATTTTGGTGTAAATGTCAATTTGTTGAAATTTAACTTCGATTGTACTTATCAATGAACAGCGATGATAATAATAAGTGCTAAATACATGACCTGTTAATTTATGTTAGTGAACTGCATAGTAAATTTAAATGACTTTAACACGTATACATCCCAGTGCCCAAAATTCTGTGTCTCTTTATTAACATAATGAAAGAATTCAAGAGTTTACTCATTAATAGGTTGGTTAGGATAACTGAGTTCAAATTTACTACCATTCAAAGGCTTGCCTTCCCGTTTACTTAATACCATATCATATGGGTATTTAGTACAGACTCTGTTATTATGCTAAATAGATCCAGAATGTTTTGAGGCATGAGCATTTCTGAATAGTTGACTTATGAACTAGCTTTACAACCTGAAGGAATTAATCGTTATCAAAATTAAAGTGTAAAAACGAACCTGAGAGACTTAAAATGACTATGAGAAGGTATAACCAACTCCTAGCCAACCAGAAAGCAAGTAGTGATAATGATCAGACAATTTATGAACTCCACTAAATTATTACACCACCCACCCCGAATTATTTCCTTTTTTCTAACACCAATTAACCTCTGACCTGTTTCTAGCATATATATATATATATATATATTATTGTAAACCTTTGTCATTCCAGTTATTTACATTCATTTAAGTCAATTGTTTCACACTATCTCAATGTAAAAATTCTATTACATATTTGATTGTAAACAAATGACGAGAAACCTCGAAATATTATGAACTCATACTATTCTGCATCAATATTTGTTCTTGCTTTATTTAGATAATGGTCAGTTTTGAAATAAAAACCAATGGAGAATAAATGAAATAAGGATGGATATTGCATTTATTTACATAACTTTTAACATATTTTTACGAAATCAAATCAGGAAAATACCTGTATAAGTATCAGTACATATGATTAGAAATCACTATTCCAGGGGAGTCTTTGTATCGACTAAAATACATTTTCAGAGGTTCCCACACTTCTAAGTTGTTACTCTGATCTCTTACGAAGAAATCAACAAAGTATCGTTTGTGAACAACGATATAATAATTGTACCCAAGCCTTCTAACGCACTTATAAGCCCTCCAATCATATGTGTAGAGTTCTGTCCCATATTCGATATATTTTTTTATATTAATAACCAAAGCCGGCATTATTAAATCTGGCACACTTTCAAAATGTTATTTATTTTGATATGTTTCTCGACTCTTAAAAATCTACTTTAATTCAAAAATAAAAACTACTCACCAAATCTGCTGCCTCTTCTGTACTTCCTCTTTCGAATAACCATTTCATTAATCTCAACGAATCTACATTTCTCAGCGTATATCTCTGTAATAGTGATAACGTTGCGTGGAAATAACGTCGCTAACATCAGGCACGACAGATGCAGTCGTTACTGATATTTCTATAATCCTTTATGCTACTAAAACCGTTAGTTATTAAAGAGTAACTTTGGGAAATAATTCAGTTCTTATAGAATTCTTTCTTTAACATGGTTGTCATTGAACTTTAACGTTGTTATGCTTCTCTTGATAAGCAGTTAGCTTCATCTCTGCATCCCAATACCATAAGATGGTCTTCTAATGTAGTATCTTTCCTACTAAGTACTCACTTATAGTATTTTCATCAAAAATGAGAAGTATACAGTTCTTAGTAAACATGATTACTTGGACTGTTGGGTAACCTAGAAACCTCTTTCTGGAATATAATTGAATTATCACTATACCTCTAGAAGAATAATCATCAAAGTCCAACACATAAGCACTCAAATATACATTCTTATCACGTTGATAGATATTAGAGAGCATATTCTAAGCAGAATGAGCTGGCTATTAATGTAAGCATCGTATATAAATAACTCATGCATTAACGAATTTAAACATGAAGTTGGAAAATTTTAATCCAGAGACTTTTTCTTCAAATCTGTTTTGATTCCATAAACTTTTCATTATATGGATTTATGATCAGAGTTCCTGTATTTCTAAATTCTTGAGTGAATTTTGCTCTTAACTTAAATTTAACATCTAATACAAAATAAGTAATCAGCTTTATTATTGCTAAATCTTAACAATCATTTCATACAGTTTAGTTTATTCAGATGACTGTTTTGTTTTGTATTTTCATGATATTTTGGTCAAGACTTAATGTCTAGATTTATAGAAACCTAACTAGTTACTTCAATCAAGTGTTTACCACTTGACCACTTTATTATGTTATCAAAAATACTATCACAGATATGTTATATCTTGTGGCCTTGTGCCCCTATCGATATATGACGTAATTATATTACCAGTTAGAGAACAGTAAATTATCGACCGGACCAATGACGGATAAAACCCGTACGAGCAGTATAAAGTCTTTATCAGTCCTTCTTCCTGCCTATCCCTACCTGCTGAGTCCAAAACATCAATAACAGCCTCTGAGATATAAATCATGTATTTCAAACATAGTGGGTTTATGCACAAACCAAACAGATCACATCGTACCATAAAATAGAAAACAACATTTGTACAAGATCTAGCCAAAAGTGTCTGTGATTGTAGGAGACGGTAATTAATAGAATGGGCATAACTCAAGAACGGTAAATCGTGTGGTAATAATCTATGGGTCGAAATAAAGCTTATAATGAGTGGATGATGAATATGCATAGATTAGCAACTGAACAACAGTATAATAAATATATATATATCGTATTGATCCATAAATAGTTCTCAAAAGTTAACATTCATAATCCTCGTCGGGATACAACAAAATAAATTTGATAATCGTGTGACTCAAACATAATCTGTGATATAAATCATTTTAAATACCTAATTTATTTCTTCGTTGTCTAGCATTGAAGTTTTGTAACAGAAGAAATAATTCGTCAGATATGTCATGTTTTTCAAAAACATTCACTTGCTTCGAAAATTTAATTAATTTTTTTCAATGGTTAAGATCATGAGTCATTTGAAGCTAGACCACCATGGAAAACCTGGAAGCACTGGACAGCTGTTTCGTCCACTGATGAGGAGTCCCATACCACGACAGACTGGCGGTCCAGTAATTCCAGGTTTTCAATGGTGGGTGTGGCTTTAACTGACTCATGAATTCAACTATTAAATTACTACAGTCTCCACAAAACCCCTTTTATGATAACAGCTAAATTGGTTGATTAACTTCAAAAAGTAATTTTACACTTATTAATTCATACTTCAATAGTTTTAATTTTTACAACAATCATATTTATTTATTATACTTTGTAATACGGAGATTATACTATACTCTAAATAAAATGTATGTAAAATCCTCTTCTTTTTTTCTTTTTTATAATTCATAATAAAAGTATCAGAAGGGGTTTTGTGGAGATTGTAGTAATTTCAACAGTTGAGATCATGAGTCAATTGAAGCTAGACCACCATGGAAAACCTGGAAGCACTGGACGGCCATTTCATCCTATTGTGGGACTCCTCAGCAGTGCGCATAATAAAAATATCCAGATGACTTTAACATTGTTCTGTTAATTAAAATAATAAATAATTCACTTTGTTATGAATTGACTCATTGAAGTAATTAATCAGTCCAATGATAATCATTCACATTTATGTAACAAAACAAAACGAAACAAAACGAAAATTATCCTTTACATGTATGAAAATTATTTAACCTCCATCCCTCTCAACCCCCCCCCCCAAGAAAAACCACATAATTACATAGTATTCTACTTGAAATATTTATTTCAATCAAGATAAACAATTAAACATTTAAATAAACTTAATAATCTCAATAAAATTACAACAGTAACCATAATACCAGTCATGACAACGGTCAATTATATATATATATATATATATATATATATATATGCTAACTTAGATGGTTGTGATTTTGTTGAAAAGAAACAAAAACCAAAAAAAAGCGATGAATAAATATGTATATGGGGGTGTTCAATAAGTAAATACGAATACAATTCAAATGAATAAATCTTTTTTTTGTTAGGAAAAAATTTTTAGTTTACATAAGACAACATTTATCAGTTGCCTGATTTGCTAATTGTTGTGGTAATTCAACTACTCTTGATGCAACATCTTGTATTGCAGTTGGAATAAATTCTTGATATATGTAAAGATAATTTATTTTTTGAAAAAAAGAAAGAAAAAAAGAAAGGAAAATGTAGCATCTTAAACAATTATTGGTTACAGATTGAAATCATGAGTCAGTTGAAGCTAGACCACCATGGAAAACCTGGAAGCACTGGACGGCCGTTTCGTCCTAGTATGGGACTCCTCAGCAGTGCGCATCCACGACCCCGCACCCCTCGATATTCGAGCCCAGGACCTACTGGATTCGCGCGCGAGCACTTAACCATTAGACTACTCAGCCGGCATCCAGCGGTGTTAATGTCTAACTTCAACCAATCCACGAAGTTGCGCCACCATATACCATTGTCTGACGCGAGACTGATAGGTCCTGTGTTTGAATTTCGCGTGGTGCGGGATCGTGGATGCGCATTGCTAAGGAGTCCCATACTAGGATGAAACGGCCGTCCAGTGCTTCCAGGTTTTCAATGGTGGTCTAGCTTCAACTGACTCATGATTTCAATCTGTGAAAATTTCTAAAATCTCCACAACCCCCTTCTGATAATTATTGATTATTAAGTAAGAACTTTCGTTTAAATTTGATCGAATAGTTACATAGTATTTGGGGCGCTGAGTTAATGTGAGACATTACTATTATTATTTCCTTGAAAAAGCTTGGATTAGATTGCCAAGCGAAACGTTGGATTTACTTCGATTTCTTACGCTGAGATTTTACAAATACCATTCTTCCTCTTTAATGTCTCAAATTATTGATTATATTTTAAAGCTAGATTAAATATAGTATCCGTTATTTTTAACGATGTAAGATTATTGTCCAAAGGTATACTAGAATAATAAACTATATGTTCTAATAAATTATCTTAATTGTTTAATAAAATATATAAAGTAATATATTTCTTATTATAAAATAAGGGATTGAGAGATTTGTTTCATTTCATCATTTCTTTATTTCGATAATACAATAAAAGGATGAGGTTTATGAGAATTTTGTGATATATTTGTGCAATACACACAATATACTTGTTAAGACATGTTTATATGCAAAATTAAAAGGTCAACGAGACAGGTTAAAGGTAAGCCATAACAAAGAAAAAAAATTAAAGTACACAAAAACAAATGTGATGACCACTCTGGATAATAAATCAGCATTAACAGGGTGAGGACAAATTATTTTTGAACACAAAATAGGGGTTTCAGTTTCCGTGTAGCCAAGGCTTCAATAAACCGTATTATATGTCTTTGAAGGCTTTTGTATAACACTACAAACGCTGATTTGATGTCGACCTTATGACAAGTCTCAAACAAATCTTATTTGACCATTGAAATTCATTTGTTTCTGGAGCCATTTTGGTATGTGTTCACCCACCCTTAATTGCAAATCACGATTGCTCCTCCCTATGTACGTGTTTCCACACATACATGCAAATTGATAGACACAATGGGATGTGACACAATCACTTTCGTGCTGTCCGGGTTTCTGGTAAAACATAGATCTTGTCTTTTCAATAATGACAAGTTGGTCTGCATAAAATGTCCGGCTGATGGCTAATTTAAGTCTCCGTTTCAAAATGAGACATTTGAGTCGCCTCTAATGGTAACATAATGTAAAGTTGCTTATTGGGTGCCAGAAGCGTCATAGGTCTAATCGTATTGCTACCCCTCCAGCGGTTTATGAACTTCAATGAATAACCATTATTCATTAACGCATCAGTCAACAGCTTCGTCTCCACTTCAATAGTATAGCTAGTACAAATACGATTGATTCTATTAAATAAGTTCTTTATTAATCTACGTTTGTAATGAATTGGGCAGTGACTATGGAAGCTAAGATATTGCCCTGTCTACGTCTCCTTTCTATATATAGAACATTGGATGGCACCATCATCTTTCCTGCTAATCAGTATGTCTGGAAAAGGAAGTTGGTTGTTCTTCTCTTCTTCACATGTAAGAGAAATATGCTTTTGACTACTATTGAATTCTTCTAACAAACGGTTTACATATCCTTATTTATCCCCTATGATCATGATGTCATCAACGTACCGTTTATACAGACACATCTTTCGAATCGAGTCTTCAGCTACATTTTCTTTATTGGACTTCATTGTATTGATTATTTAAAATTATTCAGATAAATTAGAATTAGGATACTTTGTATTGTATTCAATGTATACTTTTCAATAAGCAGTTTCAATGTGAATATTTTTCACCAACATTTACATTAAAATAATGTTTGTTTAGTATCAGTATTTAAAGGTGGGATTACGTAAGTTAAGATAAAGTTACCATGCAATATATTCTTTAGAATAATATAATAGTAAAAAAGTATATTTTGCAGTTCTATGCTATTCTCTTTTTTTATTGTACTGAAAACCTTTCAATACCTCATATAATCTAATCAGAATATGCCTATCGATTTAAGTAAACGTTAAATCCTCCGGAGTAAACATCGACTCTCGTTTGCAGATACATCCAGCTGACGAGTTCCCATATAGAACGAAACGTGCGTTCTGGATTCCACTGCTAGTCACCGCGTATCTTTGTTTATAATACTCGAGTCATATGGTTTAAGAATTTTTTTCAGAAAACTTATGAAGTACTCATAAAATATCCTGACTCTATAAATGTGAATTGTTAACTAACCAAGTATATCGCAATGTATTATTTGTCAAGTAGAATCCTTTAACTCATATACTGCGTCAAGAAACAACTGAACCAGAAGTTTATGGCTATCGATATTATCTGTTGTCATCTTTTTTTAAAAACTATCCTTATACATTTCCATCTATATATAAAACAATTATTAGCCACTGTAACATTAAATACTTTCTTAACATCATATTTCGAGTTATAAATCTTACATGATTTTGAAAATATCAAACGATCACAACAAAAACGCTTACTCATAAATGAATCCTCTTGAGCAGATCGACGATGTGTATTTAAATTGACATCAGAGCATCGATGAGTTGATGATCGTCTTGAACCATCTGGTGTTCCTACTTCCAGAAAATCAGATTTCTTTTTTAGTCCATACTGAATATTGAAATACAAATAAAGAACACAAATAAAGAATTGCGTTAATATTAATTAGTATGGTCATCGAAAAGTGAAACAAGATAAAAATTACAACATTAATAAGAAAAAAGTACTACTGTGGTGTGTGCTACTTATATTGGTATAAGTAGTATATGACGCGAGTCAGGAATGTAATGTCTGGCAGCAGATGATTGAGAAGATCAAGAAAGGAAGAGTGGGAATAGAAAGCAATTAGTATAGAAATGCAAAACAACGAAGTTCGAGACAATTATTGAACATTTTGTAAATTAAGTATTGTGGTATGGTTTTTCTATTTTACCAAGTAATTCTGTAATGTTGTGCTACAAATAATTCGGTTGTCCGCACCTATGTTTTCCTTCACTACACTACTATCACAAATAAGGAAATATTACTTGTAAATGTATGTTCATAAAACGGGAGCCATAGTTATAATAAAAATTTTCAAGGGCAGATGAATAAATTAAACATCAAATATTTGAATCCCAAAATTTAGTTTTATTCACCCAACTTCTTTAATAGTTATGAAATAAATAATTCAGTGATAGTACAGGTTTAAAGTATGAAGATTCATTCCAGGAATTAGTCTTCATATAATTCAACGGGAAAATTCAAACTATTTGTATTAATAATATAGTACATACTATTACTCTTGATAAACACAAGAGTTACATAGTTGTATCAACATATCAAATAGGCTTTTAGAGTAAACTCTACCAGAATAAGTAAATAAAGGTTTTAACCCCTTTTCTTATTGTTGACAATCGTTCTTTGATACATTCTACTGATAAAAAAGATATTCTTTTTCCATAATGATCCGAATTAAATCGATATCACTTATCATTTTGAATAGTTATGATGACATTTTTCGTTCTTTTTTTAAAAAAATCAGTTAGTTACAAAAAGGGAAACGTTTTTTACTTATCTCTATAGAAAAAAGAGTATTTAATAGGAAGTATAAATTTCACTTTCATAATGTTGAATATAAATAGGTTTATTGTTCAATATTTCTGAAACCTTGGGGAATAATATCTACTCATTATTATCTTATCTACTTAATAAAATAGTTTATGTATTTTTCAAAAAAAAAATCCGAGAGCTTTAGAATATACAGTTTGTATTTAATCATGTGTTTGAAATTATATAAATAACTCTAGAAATCATTTTATCCTATATTATTCAAATTCCAATGAAGTCTGAAAGTAATCAAATGATCGAATAGTGAACTTAAAAGTTATGCAAGACTCAAAGTTATCAGATTATATTTGCATGATAAATTCCATATCTAACTACTTTTCCTTGCTATATTTACTTATATGAACTACCTAACAAATATATTATTTTACAGTATGTATACATATATGGTTCTGAAATATTTGCAATTATCTAATAGAATTTCAACAGTTGAGATCATGAGTCAATTGAAGCTAGACCACCATGGAAAACCTGGAAGCACTGGACGGTCATTTCGTTCTATTGTGGGACTCCTCATCAGCTTCAATTGACTCATGATCTCAACTGTTGAAATTACTACAATCTCCACAAAACCCTTTCTGATACTATCCAATATCAACAAGTCGATTAAAGTTGAATTTATTTTTATACTGATTAGCTCAATTTTATATAATAAATTTGTAATTAAAAGACTGTAAAATGTTAAGAAGTTATGCATTATTCAGGCCAATTATGTGAATTGATTATCTATGTATATGAAGAAGTCCTTACAACTAAATGTTACAGAATAAGCTAAATGAACTTCATTCTTATCAAACAAAAGTTTATTTGAATAATTAGGTCAACATTTTATAAATGTGTCATCTGCAAAAAAAACAAAAAAAAAGATAAATCAAAGAACAAAAACCCAAGGGACAAATATACAGGAACATACTTGATTTAATGATGCTTATATGAATAGATATTATATAATTCAGATTTGTAACGTAATAAATTTATGATGCAAATTATAAAACAAAAATTAAATTCATTTTTGCTAACTTTGGTTTAGAAGCAACGATGGATATTGGCTAGTAGTAGAATCCAGGATATGCGTCTTGTCCTGTTTGGGACTTGTCAACTAGATGTACCTGCATACCAGAGTTAATGTTCACTCTGGGACTCGAACACAGTATCGTTCGCTCCAAACACCATCTCCTTATCCACATAGTTACTTAGTCCTGATAGACGCTTGTTTGTGCAATGAGATGAAGTTTAAATTCATTTGGTATTGTTTTACTTGAATCTTTCCATTGATGATTAAGACTACAATTGATCAGTCTGTTATTGGCATATGTGCATCCAGTGCGGATTACCTCGATATTGCCTTCGTTCACAAGCATTCTAAGGACGAAACGCGTGTCCTGGATTTCACTGCTAGCCACTATCCATATTTGCTTATAATGCTTGTGAATTAAGGCAATATCGAGGCAATACACATATACCAATAAAAAACGGATCAATTGCAGTCCTAATCATCAATGGGAAGATTCAAGTAAACACTACCAAGTGAATCTAACTTTAGTTTGGTTTGAAAATCAAAACACAGTCATGGTGATTATAGTTTATGAATCGAATGGGAGATTTATAGAAAAAAAATAACAAGAAAGCATTAAAGCCTTTTCAAATTCTAGCTGGTCAGTATCAGTAGAACTATATTAGTGTACAATTCTATTACTAACAATTAATCAAATACTTATTATGGAATCATAAACGTAAAGTAAAAAAATTAAAATCTATTACGTGTTAATATCCTTGAGTTATTAGTTTATAGATTAATGTTTAGTATACTGATGCAATCAAATGATAACTTAAAGACGGCGAAGTATTTATTATAGATTTGTGGAGTATGTGTTTTAATTTTTCAAAGTCATTCTTTATCAAGGTTTGAAGTTAACCAATCAATAAATGTAAAATAAATGTTATTAGATAACTGTCTTGTGGTAGTTGGAGACTCATATCAGATGTCCAGGTCTTGTACTGAATACAGTGATTTTAGAATATTCAGACGGAATCCAGTAGTTATTTCATGACGTGTTACGATTACTTACGATCATGGCCCTTCTAACTTAACGTAGATCTGAAAACTATGATCTCTAACACCGATTTTTCTCTGTTTGTCTTCACATACAATAAATAAACTTCTATTATCTATAAAGAATGTCTATTTAGAAGGTTTGGTAGAAATTTTATCTAATTTTAAGGTAATTTTATTACTAACTGATATTAGCTACACTGAGACTTGATAAATTAAAAGTGTAAATCATTACATACTAACCTAGTCACACAATAATATTCGATAATGTGTTAAACATATCCTTAGTTAATCATTTTATTTGTAATGAAGTATCTCTACAAATTATTTTGGAGTGTTGTTTTAGAAGTTTGATTTTCATTATTCAATATTATTTTTGTTTACAATGTTGAATGCAAAAATTTTATGTATCAGAAGGGGTTTTGTGCAGATTGTAGTCATTTCAATAGCTAAAGATCATGGGTCAATTAAAGCTAGACCGCCATGGAAAAGCTTCAAGATGTATATCTTGAAGTTCTAGTGAGAAGCAGTGAACAGTGGAGTTCAACCGGGTCAGTTGTATGATAATAACTCACTGAAGACAATAGTAGATGTGTCGCTCAATTTTCATTTCTCGGAATAAGTTTTTTCTTAATAAAAAGAATATTTATATTTTTCAATTATTAAAGATTATTCAACTGAATAAAAAATGACAAAGTTAATCATTTTAACCTTAAGTCAAATTATTATCCTAAAATATACTGATCCTATATATTGATCATATCTAACAGAGTTACTTAAATGGTATAGAAGATTTGTAGCTCAGGTGGATGATTTTGATGGAATTTGGTTCTCTGAACTGAATGGTAGAAGTCTATCTGAAGTTTGTGCTGATGATGTTGTTCAGAAGAACGATGAAAGCTCCACGACCATACCATCTAGCTCAGAGAACAAAACTTCACCAAAGAGTTACTTCAATTCCCATGATATTTACTTATGTAACCCCTTCACTTCAGATAACATTCTATTTATTTTAGTTACTGAGTAAAACTTGAAAACATTATATTTATTTGTTTTTTTTAAAAAAAAAAAGGGGGTTTAATGAACTGATAACTACTCGATACGACATAAAATACTTCACATTATTGATTATGTAACTTTACTAAATAAAAGATAAAAATAAATCATAACGATACTGAGCAAATTGAGATGAAAAAAAGAGTAAATAACAACAACAAAAAGAAAGTAGATTTGATTGGTTCATTTATTTTTCTAATCATTAAATTTAAAATTAGAAAGTAACACCCTAAATGTGTTCTCTCCTTTTTTTTTCCCGGAAAATATTTTATCTTCAATAATAAACACTTTAACATTTCATGTTGAATATGTAACAAAAACATTTAAAAGTTGTTTGTAATTAAATAGATTGGGAATAAATTAGTAACACACACAGAGAGAGAGAGAGAGAGGAAGGGAGGGAGAAAGAGAAAAGTAATTAAAATAGAACTGTAAAAGCTCATGTAAACAAGTTTTAAAGATTAAAATCTGTAAACATATATGTGGAACAAATTTAATAGATAATTGATTTTTTTTTTAATAAAAAAATTTAAAATTCACTCAATCTATTACCATTGAAAATGGTATAGTGATAAAAATCAGTTAGTAACCTTGATATGTTCTTAATAATGTTCCAATATATTTTTACAATCGATTTATTTAATTCTTATAGTTAATCTTAAATATTATAATTTTTTTATATGATGTGAAAAGTAAAATAAGCGTGATATAATATGGACTATACTGGGAAATTGGATTAGAGAAATACTATCTATAAAAATATATGACAATGGTGGATGTGTCGTTCAATTTCGTGGATGAGTTGAAATTAGACATTAACACTATTGGATACCGACCAGCTCAGTGGTCCAGAATGATAGGTCTTGGGTTTGAATTCCGCATGGAGTGGTTGTGG